GGATGGGGGGTAACCAGTGCATGTTTGATTGGAGAGGGAAAGGTGCCCATTTAGAGTGAGAGCTTGAAGATGTGGGTTAGAGAGTTTAGGATGGAGCAGGAAGGAGGCTGCAACAGTCGTGAGGGGACAGGATCCAGGGGACAGGTGGTGAAGTGGGCGTTGGAAAGGAGTTTGGTAACTTCCTTGGTGGTAACAGGGTCGAAGGAGGAGAGTGTAGAGTTTGGTGTTGGGCCTGGTATGTTGGTTAGAGGAGGAAGCTTGACACTGGAGATCTCATCACGAATTGTGTCGATCTTCTTCTTGAAGTGACTGGCAATCTCATGTGCAGTAAGTAAGTTGGTGAGTGGAGGCAGTGGGGGGTGGAGTAAGGAATTAAGGGTAGAGAAGAGTTGACGAGGATTGGATGAGAGGGTCTTGATGAGAGTGTTATAGTAGGTTTGCTTAGCAGCGTGGAGGCTGGAGTTGTATTTGAGAAGAGCGGATTAAGAATATAAGAATATAGCACCATTGGTATTTATTTCTCATTATTTAATATTTATTCACTTTTAGAGTCACTTCTTACTGTGGATTCATGTCCACCTATGTTGGCTATCCATGAAGTTTTATACCCACTATGCACACAGTATGACACAGTCATTGAGAAGGTAAAGAGAGATATACTGTATACTCAATTAATCTAAATATGTGCATCCTGCTAGGCTGATGTCAAGAATGTCATCCCCTGTCTCCTTTGTATTCATCATTATCCATTATTTAATTCCTAGGAGTTCATTCATTTTTACTGTAGTGTTCATGAAGGAACATTTAAAGAAGGAAACGATTCCACTAGGCTACTATATATGGAACTTCACTGCAGATGAATACAGAAAGGAAACTCCATTGCCTCATATTGGTCATTTTTTGCCTATACAGCCGTTTTTGAAGACGTCAAACGGTTCTTTATTTTAATTCTTTGATTTTAATGTGATTGCAACATGTTCACTCTGTCAATGTCAACCTTTTTCATGATCTAAATGATCGAATAAATACAATATCGCATTTACATTTCTAGTAATCTATTACTCCGCATAGGATTTGATTAACCACTTCCCAGGCGGTTTTGCACTAGTCAACTGCCTTTTTTTTTTTGCGTGTTCTAGTATTTTTAGGTTTATAATCCACACTTTTATACAAGTGAGTCGGAGATACTATTAAGATACGACTATCGTACCAGCTTGGATGGCACTTTTTCCTACTGACCACAACCTGCCTACTCTTCTCTTAAAGGACAGCATCACCCTAAATTGGGACTTAGTTTGGGGACTTTCACTTTTTTACTGTGGGATACAATTATACCAACGTTTTTTTTACCGCATTGGTCAGTAGGAGGAGTTTTTTGAGAGACTCAAGAACCTTTCAGCTTCTTGTGCTGCCTATAGTTAGCCCCCTTCCTTCCCAGATTTATGATTCAGGTACAGATATACTTGGTCCTTTCATTGTTTTGTTGTATTGTACAAAGTTGTTTTACCTTGTAATAGTTGATTGCTGATGCCATTTTTTTATGGTTGCTTTGTTGGGTGTTTAGCCAATATAATCCTCCTTCTTCAGCCATGGTGTCAGAGGATGTGGTATTGGTGGAAGGATCATTGTCATATGAAATCAGGGGGCCCATACATCAGCAACTCCTATGGGGGTATGCCCTTTACTTGGGGGTGGGGCTCGAGTCCAGGATTTTCAGTTCCTTGATTTTGAGTGAAGAATGACGGCTACCACATGTCCAGGAACAACCATGTACCCCGCTACAGCTGCCCAGTAGTGCAGAGATGAAAATGACCAATCAAGCCTCAGAGCTGTTCTGGATGTCCCTTGAGTCACCTGGGGTGAAGAGCAAATGCTCCTTCTTTATCCTTGTTGTGTCAGAGGGTGTTGCATTGCCAGAAGGGTCTTTGTCATCCAGAATCAGGGGTCCCTTACAGCAGCAGCTTCTTCAGGGGTAAGCCTTACATCATAGGGCATACATACTTGGATTTAATGGTAATATTTTAACTGGAGTTCAGCTCTGACAAAGAGGAAGTGGAATAACATTGTATGTTTTTTATTTTATCCACTGCTTGATTTTGTTTTACTTTGTTTTATGCAAATGATAACATGAACCTGTTTTCCAGTTGTCTGCTGTCTAAACTTTCTTTTGCTAAAAGATTATGCTTTTTTCAAGGACGTGATTTCCTTTTAAATGGACACATTGGTGCTTTTGTATGGTGTACTTTCCCCGAGGTGACCTTGTGCGGTAATTTGGCTTGTTATAAATACTGCAGATTGAATAATCATTCACTCTGTGTATCCTTTTGTATATTTGTATACTGAAGGACATAACCTGGTTAGCAAGCTTCTTTTGGTTGACTGTTTTTGAGCAGTTTTTATATAACACATCTTTTATTGCTAAATATGTCGAGCTTGAGCCCCATAAATACGAAAAAAGAGGCATGTATAATTTAATGTTTCATGTAACCCCCGAAGTTTATGCTTTCTTCTATAATTCCTGCTCCACCTTGGAGCATCGCTCTTCCTTGTTATGTCCCTTCCGGTGGTAGCCTCTAGCGTTCCACAGACCGGAATCCCCCAAGGCGCGGAATCTAAGTCCCAACCTACTTGTTCACCAGGGCCCCTGATGGTGGGGATGGACTTGGAGCAGGCCGAGACCAGGTCGCGGCCCCTGGGTTCACCCAGCTGTGGTAGAAGCACCACTGGAGGTGTATATAGCAGGTGAGAGCCTGATGTGAGGAGGTAACGAGAGCAGGGTCGGGCAGGCCAGGTCAGTAACAGTGGAGGCAGAAAGGTACCAAATCAGTAGGCAGGAGGATAAACAGGTCACAAGCCGGGTTCGGTAACAGGAGATCAGAATGTGCAGGGTTAAGCAGGAGAATGGTCAGACAAGCCAGGGATCAGGACAGGAGACAGTCAAAAAAGTCAGGGTCAGGCAGGGTCGGCAACAAGGCAATCTACAATACAGGAACTCAGGATACAGGTAAGACCATATGGCAACTAGAGTCAGACCTGACCTGTTTTAAATAGGGCACCCTGCGCCCTGATTGGTGGCAGGTGCGCATCCGCGATCGCGAGTGCGCATGCGCTAGTGCGGCCGGGCACATCACACATGCGCAAACCCGTGCGCGATCGTGGCCAGCTCTGGGGTCCCTGACATTCCTACTATGACTGCAGTTTTCTCTGGTGTTCCCATTTCTCTGCTGCACTCTTCATTCTACAAAATAAATGAAAGATGAACTATAATGGATTGGGATGTAGGGTGTGGAGGTCAACTCGGGTCTGAGGTGTTCAGTCCTAAAGGCCTGGCCAGTGGTCTCTGTTACACAGGCCTGGCCAGTGGTCTCTGTTACAGTACCAGGTGTCCACCCACTTTATTAGGTACACCTTGCTAGTGCCAAGAAAATATACCCCCACACCAGAGGCGGACTGACCATTTGGAAACTCGGGCACTGCCCGAGGGCCCGAGGTCAGTAGGGGGCCCCATCAGATGCCCCTGGGACCTTTTTCATAGGCTTTTTTGAGTTTGGGCAAGGTCAAAGGGGCCCCATGATCCCCTTTTGCCCGGGGGCCCCATGAGTTGTCAGTCCGCCCCTGCCCCACACCATTACACCAGCCTGAACAGTTGATACAAGGCAGAATGGATCCATGCTTTCATGTTGTTTCCGCAAAATTCTGACGCCACCATCTGAACGTCACAGCAACCAGTCTGCCCATTTTCCTCTGACCTCTGACATCAACAAGGCATTTTGATCCACACAACTGCCACTCACTAGATACTCTCTGTAAATCCTAGAGATGGTTGTGCCTGAGAATCCCAGTAGATCAGCAGTTTTTGAAATACTCAGACCAGCCCGTCTGGCATCAACAATCATGCCAGAGTCAGAGTTCAAAGTCACTTAAATCCCTTTTCTTCCCAATTATGATGCTCGGTTTGAACTTCAGCAAGTGGTCTTCACCACGTGCTTGGTTTTACCCAATGATTGAACAGGTGTACTTAATAAAGTGGCTGCTGAGTCTGTGTGTGTATATATATATATATATATATATATATATAATTTTATTATAGATACTTATATAGCGTTATCAATTTAGGCAGTGTGTTACATATATATTGTACATTTACAACAGCCCCTAACCCTCAAGAAGCTTGCAATCTAAGGTTCCTAACTCACATTTATACATACATACACATACTAGGGCCACATTAGACAGGAGACAATTAACTTACCAGCATGTCCTTGGAGTGTGGGAGGAAACCAGTGCACCTGGAGGAAACCCACACAGGCACAGGGAGAACATGCAAACCCCAATATATAGATATACTTTTTTATACTTTAATCAAATTACAGCATTGAAGTGAAACTAAACAATATCCTTATTCTCCAAAAATAATTCACACACATTCACTACTTAATGGCCCTATAATCGTTTTTCATGAAATAATTTCTTACTGTGTTTTTGTGCCCCCTTGTAACTTCCTCTGTGAGCTCCTAAACATTTTCTTGCCCCTTTCTTTTGTTTGTGTGAAACAAGCAGTGCATGTTTGTTGCAATCATGTGCACTGATATATGCACACTACAAATCCCATTGTTGATCTTCGGAGCGAGCAAAAAAGGGTGGTTACATTCCTACATACATTGGAGCCATGGAGAGTGAATATGGCCACCCTATAACAGATAGTCAGATCACAGCAAAAAAGGAATCCCACCCCCCCACCCCCCCCCTATTCCTTTGGTCATTGAAGTCAAACTGCTCCCACTGACCACTTACAAAATGGGGACACAATGATCACCAATGAGCACAGCAAGGGGGCACACAAGGGGTATATGTAGCTTAAGAGCACACTGACCATGGATTTATGGGGGAAATACATCAATGACCATCAACGATCATCAGCCTTTAACCACCTCCCGCCACCATATAGTCCAATGACGGGCACAAGGTGGTTCTGTCGTTCTGGGAGGACGCCATATGACGTCCTCCCATGCTCACCGTGCATGCGCGGCTCAGGGAGCGCGCAGCACGGCGATCTGCAGTGCTTTGTGTCCCTCGGACATAGCGGATCACCGATCTATGGAAGGTGTCAGCTCGGTCATGTGATCAGCTGTGTCCAATCACAGCTGATCACATGTAAACAGGGAAATGCCGGTTATTGGCATTTCTCTCCTCACGAGCTGTCACGCTGACAGAGGAGAGCCGGTAATTGGCATTCCGCGGAGAGGACATGTACACTGATCATCAAGGCACTGATGATCAGTGTGGCCCCAGAAGTGCCACCTGTCAGTGTCCATCAGTTCCAGCTGCCAGTGCTGAACAGTGCCACGTGTCAGTGCCACATCAATGCCACATATCAGTGCCTACCAGTGCACATCAATGCCACATATCAGTGCCCATCTGAGCTGCCTTTCAGTGTCACCCATCAATGCCAGTCAGTGCCACCTATCAATGCCAATCAGTGCCACCTATCAGTGCTGCCAATCAGTGCCACCTATCAGTGCCAGTCAGTGCCGCCTATCAGTGTCAGTCAGTGCTGCCTATCAGTGTGCATCAGTGCCGCCTATCAGTGCCCGTCAGTGTGCCTCCTATCAGTGCCAGTCAGTGTCACCTAACAGTGCCAGCCAGTGCCGCCTATCAGTGCCTCCTATCAATGCCATATATCAGTGCCATATATCAGTGCTGTCTATTAGTGCCCATCAGTGATGCCTGTCAATGCCCATCAGTGCCACCTACCAGTGCCTCCTCATCAGTGCCCATCAGTGCCACCTATCAGTGTCCATCAGTGCAGCCTATCAGTGCCCATCACTGCAGCCTCATTAGCGCACATCAGTGAAGGAGAAAAATCACTTATTTACAAAATTTTACAACAAAAACTAATAAAAAAACATTTTTTTTTAAAAAAAATTTCAGCGGTTTTTGGTTTGTTTAAGAAAAAATAAAAAACCCAGAGGTGATTAAATACCACTAAAATAAAGCTCTATCTGTCACAAAAAAATTATAAAAATTTCATATGGGTATAGTGTTGCATGACCGCGCAATTGTCATTCAAAGTGTTACAGCGCTGAGAGCTGGAAATTGGCCTGGGCAGGAAGGGGGTATAAGTGCCCTGTAGGCTTGTGGTTAAAGGGGAACTCACCACCAACCACCTCCCCCACCCCCCCACCCCCCCACACCATTAGGTCCTGACCACTGCTCTGTGATTGTTACATTGCACATGTTATAAATTAACCATTTCAATACCGTGCAATTTTACACCTTCCTGCCCAGGCCATTTTTCAGGTTTCAGCACTCTCACACTTTGAATGACAATTGCGCGGTCATACAACACTGTACCCAAACTAAAATTTGATCATTTTCTTCACACAACTAGAGCTTTCTTTTGGTGGTATTTAATCACCGCTGGGGTTTTTATTTTTTGCTAAATTAACAAAAAAAGACCAAAAATTTTGAAAAAAAACCACATTTTTCTTTGTTTCTGTTATAAAAGTTTACAAATAAATAATTGTTCTTCATAAATTTAGGCCGAGATGTATTCTGCTACATGTCTTTGGTGAAAATAACCCAAATTAGGATGTATTTTTTAGTTTGTAGGAAAGTTATAGAGTTCACAAACTATGGTATAGATCTGAATATTGATCAATCCTGAAGTACTGACAGCCAATCTAATTTCTTGAGGTCCAAGAATGTCAGAACAGTACAGATATCCCCCAAATGACCCCTTTTTGCAGAGTAGATAGTCCGATGTACTTCATAAGAGGCATGGTGAGTTTTTTGAAGTTGTATTTTTATGTCATAATTTTTCGGAAAATGAAAAAAATTAAAAAAATTATTTTCACTATTTTTTTTTTACATACTGTCACCAGTGCAGTACAGCGTCATCATATAACTGGCATGGCGGTTAACAGGGACACTGACTGGTGACAGTATGAAAAAAAAATATATATATATATTTTTTTTTATTATATTTAATTTTTTATTACATTTTTTTTTTGTTTTTTAAGATTTTTTTTTCATATTTTACTATGACCAAAGTAGTACAATGTTACCATAGTAACACTGTACTACTTTGGGAAGTGATCAGTATTTTTTTTTTTTTTTTTTTTTACAAAATTTGCTTATAGCAAAGAATTACTTTGCTATAAGCAAGCATTTACCTGAATGAAATCGATTCATTCAGCATTTTTTTTTTTTTTTTTTTTTTGTGCTTAGCTGTAATTTGGTCACAGCAGTAATCACATGACATGTGCATGTGATTAGCTGTGACCATTCACAGCTAGGCACTAGTATACAATGGATGGCATCATGAATGAAGCCATCCATTGTATACAACTGTCATGTGACCTGCTGTGATTGGTCACAGCAGGTCACATGGTACCAGCAATGGGAGCCGGTACTCGGATCTGTCATCGGCCGTGTCCAAGGTGCACGGCCCGTGACAGATCCCGCTGCTGCGCCGCTCTGCAATACCGCAAATGGCGCATGTGCGGGAGCACGCCAAATGGCGTGCACCCGGAATGAAGAGGCACATCTGAAGCCGCCGGGCGGCTAATGGTTAAACATTGAAAAAAAATAAAAATAAAAAAACTACATACACCATCCACTGCTTTGCTGACACTGTCCTCTGCTCTTATGACATCATCCACTGCTCTATTGACACCATCCACCAGGGGCGGACTGACAACTCATGGGGCTCCCGGGCAATAGGGGATCGTGGGGCCCCTGTGTCCTTGCCCAAACTCAAAAAAGCCTATGAAAAAAGGTACCAAGGGCATCTCATGGGGCCCCCTACTGACCCCAGGACCTCGGGTAGTGCACGAGTTTCCAAATGGTCAGTCCACTCCTGCCATACACTGCTCTGCTGACATCGTCCTTTGCCCTATCAACACTATCCACTGCTCTATATATACACAAACCTCTGCCCTACTGACACATCCGCTGCCCTACTGAAAAACATCCACTGCACTACTGACATGTCCACTGCTCTACTGACTGACACTGTCCATTTTTAAGCTAGGCTAAGTTTATATCTTTATAGTGAAGTTTGTTTTATTCTAAATTTATAAAATAGTAAGGAAAATTTATTTCAAAATTTTCCTTACTATTTAGTTAGGCTTTGCTAGTTAAATTCTTTAAAAAACAAAAAAAGGTGCCAACCCCAGTGATCTTTGATCTCTTTCATGTTGTTCAGGTAGATCTTCACCTCCCAAAGGTTGCCTGCCCCAGTTTTACACTGGGTAGCTGGGAAAAAGTCCTTTGCTGCATCTCCCTGCTTAGGTAATTCAGTAAACTCATAGAGCCCATGTCCTCTGAGTTTCCGGTTTCACTTACAAGGTTACAGGTCAAGACCTTTTCCCCCCACTTTTTGCTCAGCCCCCTTGCCCAGTCCAGTACAACCCCTCCTTCCCCACCCTGCTCAACTGTGCATATAAGGTGGGGGCAGGCAGGCCACACTCTGAGCTGCAAGTTGAAAGCGGTGGGCTTGTATGTAAATCTGGAAGTCAGAGGGCCCACCCCGAGTGGGGCTTAGGACAGGCCCCCTGAGTTTCCTCTCTTACATACAATGTCACCTATGGAATATTTTGGGTATTTGTCATTGTTTCACGGGCATGCAAAATTTTAAAACTTGACATGTTTGATATCTATTTACTAAGAGCAACCTCATCTTTTATGTTTGACCAAAAATTGGGTAATGTACGACAATTTGCACTTGATAAACCATTGCATTAATATCATGTAACATAAAAATTTATGTCTCCAGCATCTCCACTTGCAGAAAATATACAATGTTTGAAGGTGTGACAGAACGCTTGTCACCCCGATTGGGTGATTCCATCAGAAAACTGCTTCCTCCCCACTGGGAGACAGGACCAAGATATTATAGCCGGGCATCGCACCCAAGACTAGACAAGACTAGCTTAGACGCCACACTGGAGCGCCTTTATTGAACAAGAACACAGGGTTTTATATACTTCAGAAATACGGGCAGTCCCCACATGTACAATAAAACAAATATTACACATTGGGATAAACATCCCACACTGATTGGGTAAGAGCTTGATCACATCATCCTAAACCGTGCAAATGTTAAACAGTACAGCCAACAGCTAACAGTGATCCAATTAACAGTAAACTAATCAACATCCAGGCATACAGACAATGTTTTGATTAATCAGGGAGCCCACAGCAGACATCCCGGCAACAAACCCACTCCTGAATAAACAAAGTACATTACACATGCTGTCTTTCAGGTGATTGCTTTCACTTATATAATCTGTCCATCATAAAACTAAACTCATACAATATTCCAACAGACTGAAAAGTTGATTTATCTTCATAGATTTCTTGAGGGAGATTGTTGATAAATATTTCTGTTCCAAATAGAGGGGTTTCTCCAACCCAGTCTGCATGAGGGCCACCATATTACATATTTTCATCCACCCTGGAAGTGAAGATTTATTGTCCTTATGCAGAGACTTAATCCAAACCTCGCTCTCAGTGTTCATCCCATTATTATCCAACATCACAGACTGATCCGCTCTCTCCATGTGAGCAGAGGCTGAACCAAGCTCTCCTCCATGCTCTGACTGGATGAAGCAGACAAAATCCCCGGTCTCCTCCATGGGCCATAATCAGTGGGTAGAAGGCTAGCCCCTAGTCCCCTCCAAAAGCCCCTATCCTGGTTGGGTCTGTCACAGGTTTTAACTAATCTTCAGGCCTAAAATAATTTTTTCAAAGTGTAAAAAAAATGCAAAGCAGCTCAGGCAGAGAAATGGCTAAATGTTGCCATAGGGAAAAAAAGACAGGGAACAAATATAAGAAATCATATCAGTGCTCCATAAGTGGATCCAGCTATGCAGAGTCAGCACACAATTGTATCTTATAGCTGGAGAAATAGGCATATAAAAAGTTTTTATTGTAAAGCGCTGAGCAAACTGTTGGCGCTATATAAATCCTGTATAATATTAATAAAATAATAATGAACATCAGCATGCTTTCCTCAGTGGAAACAGTCTCTACATTATAAATAGCTGACACATGCCTCCAATGTGGAGGAAGCCGCTTTCTTATTCTTTAGTCAAGACAGATTTGGAGTCTGTACGTCATTGTCAAGATGGTTTCAATTAAAAGCATGGAAGCATGTTAGCTGCAGGCCTGTCAAGTGAAATCAACACATAGAGCAGAGCCTGTTAAATGTGCCCAAGGGGCCCTCGGTGGAGCTGCTGCGAGCGGTGTCGACATATTTAGACCTTATTTGTAGTACCTGCAGATCTTCTGAAGAAAACCTTCTAAAGTTGCAGAAATGACTCCGTCTTCAAAAAGATAAACGAGATAATATTTCGACTGGCTAAGGGTATTTTAGAAGGAGCTACTAGAGTCTAGGCAATAAAAGCAGAGAGCTCTCTAGAAGAATTGGCAGTGAAGATAAAACTCAAACGCTTTGACCACGTAATGAGACATCAAGACTCTCAACTGGAGGCTATAATGGCTGGAAAGATTCAAGGCTACAG